ATGATGATGATGATGATGATGATGATGATGATGATGATGATGATGATGAGCTTGTATCGCGTTCAAAGGGCCATGTCGACTTTGTGGCTAGGCCATCCTGCAGGGCGTTCGAAGGTCGACAAAGGCCGGACAATTTTGCATGTTATTTTTGTTCTTATCCTTAATTTTAAAGTCAATATTCACATCATTTCACATATCATGTACAAGAATCCGATTAATATAAGCAAGCTTTGCTTTAGGCCTGTAAAAGCAAGTGACAAGTCACCCTCCATGTGACCTAACATAGATGGCTCACAATTTTATCATCCGATTTGGAAACCTCTCCCTTCCAACAGATCCAACTGAAGAGTCAAAAGCCTCGCTTGCACCAAGCAGAGAAAAAGCAGAGCCACGCTGGCAGGTCCGCGACTACGTCCAGCAACGCAATGTTGGCGAGGACGCGGCCTCTGAGGAGGACATGGAGAATGCTCTGCAGTGCATGGGCTTCGAGACGGAGGAGAATGAATGAAAAAAGATGTGCAGAAATCCCATGGAAGAAGATGAACCCAAGAGCGATGGCCTCCACCCTAGTTAGCGATGGCCTCCAACCTAATAGCAAGAACGAACGTGCAAGAAATCCCATGGAAGATGCTTTTGAACTTCAAAGTCATCCAATCACGGACGACCGCAAGATGCTGAGGAGCAAATGGGCAAAGCAGTTTTGGAGCTCAGTGGCGGATGGCAGATGCGATTGGCATTGGCCTGTGCTGTGGCGCGCAAGGCAATTATCACATTGGTCGAACCCACGCCTTTGAGAACATGTGGAAAGGAAGAAATGAAGAACAGAAAGTTAAGTGAGTGTCTCTACTACTCCACCTTTCTAACTCTATCTAATTAGCCTCTCTTTTCATTCTATTCTTTTTAGTTGTGCAGGCGAATCTGCTCTTGTTGGACGAGCCAACCAACCACTTGGACGCTGAAGGCGTCAAATGGCTGGTGGACTTTATCAACAAGATTCTCAGCTGCTCCCAATCCAACCAGCAAATGAAAGTTTAAGAGCAGCATTGGCCAAAGAGGCCTAAACTCCAAGCACGTTTGACAAACAACCTCACAGGAAGAAGGAATGCGCTTTGAGACAAAAACTTGGTGAAACATAGACAACCGTGAGGACTTGTGCTGATGACCAGGGAGCTGCAATGATCGTGTCCCATGATCCAGACTTTCTAGATCTGGTTTGTACAGCCTCTGGGCGGCAAGTGCCAAGGCTACTAGGAGCACAGGGCCACGCTACTAGGGGCTCCTGGCCTTACTACTAGGAGCAAAGGACGCGACTAGGAACAAAGGGCATCGCTACTAGTAACAAGGATGCTACTAGTGTTCATTTGAAAAGAACACGTTTCTTGCTTCGAAGTAACAGCATCTGGGCGGCAAGTCTGCCAAGGCTACAAACCTTTGAGCAGCGACAAAAAAAACGTTGACAGTATCGAGAGTAGTTTCTTTTTGGAGGCCATCGCTAGTAGATTGGAGGCCATCGCTAGTAGTTTCGTTTCAAAACAGTTGTAGCTTTCTTTTTTTTCCCCTAAGGATGTTGTTCACTTTTCTCCCAATTCTCAAAAAGGCCAGGAAAACATGCCGAGCTTCACTCGATGGCTCTAATTCGTTCGATTCCTGCAGGGAAGTTGGCTTATTATCCGGGCATTTTCTCCGCCTTCAAGGAACGGGCATCGCTACTAGGAGCAAGGACGCTATACTTAGTAGCTCCTGGCCTTACTAGTAGCAAATGACTACCAGTAACAAGGATGCTACTAGGAGCAAAGGGCATCGGTACTAGGAGGAAGAACGCTACTAGGGGCTCCTGGCCTTTCTACTAGGAACAAGGATGCTACTGTTTTCATTTGAAAAGAACACGTTTCTTGCTTCGCAGTAACTGTGCCTGCATAAAGCGGTCTTGTGTCTACCAGTAAGGCTAGCAAGGGGTAGTTAAGTCGAACGAAGAAAAAACATAGAGTGACAAAGAGCATGAGGATGCAATGCATGGGGTAGATGAAGGAATATGAAGGATGCAATATGATGCAATATGATGCAATGAGTGATAAAACCGGCAACAAAAACGCCTTTCCGTGCCCGCGCCATCGGAGCGAAGGCCAACCAGCTGAACGGAGACGATGCAGAGGCGACTCACGGCGACTCCGGACTCAAACAGAGAACTGTTCGACTGTGAGGCCAAGCGCGTTCTGGAGACCGAACAGGAATCGAGTTGGGAACCTCAAGAAGGACAGAATGCCAAAATAGAAAGAGAAACAAAAAAGAAGAGCAACATTAATAAGAAGAGAACCACACAAGAAATCATTATGGCAGTATGTGTGTAGTAGCACTGGGAACCTCAAAGACAGCCAAAAATTGAGCTGAGAAAGCCACACCGAGGCTTGGGTTTGGGCCCAAACGATGGGAACCGCATGGCCTTCCCTATTCCGGCAACCTGCCAGAATATGCTTCAAAAGGTCAACAGATTTGAATGCTTCAATTTAGAGATTGAAAGAAACGATGCACAATAAAGGTCCAAAGAGAAGCAAAGGAGAAATAGAAATAGATAAATAACATGAAAGAAAAGAACAGACACACAAACAACTTCGGCACTTCGGATTGGCTTGCCAGTTAGGAAAGAATTGGTGATACCACCGCAGAGCGCAAGGCCGGTTGTTTTGATTCGAGAGGGCGCATGGGTTGTTCCGCTGCTGCTCGCCTGAAGGCAGCAGTCGTGACTTTAGACAAGGCCTCCTTCCAGTACAAAGGCAAGCCTCTCCTTTCCTTTCCTGATTCTTTTAAAATGCAGAACCTTACAAGAACGGTTTCAGACAATTAAACAAGTCGAACAAACCAACAGAAACACATGTTTCTTACATGAACATTGTTTCTTGTTTGGCTTTAATCAAAGGAAGTTTAGTGTGCAAAACTTCCGTGTTACGGACATTCAACAGCTGTTCAACCACCACTCATCATACACCACTCATCATACACCACTCATCATACACCACTCATCAAACCACC